AGATATTAGAAATGTGATATTTTTCATGAATTATTGCATTTCATTCTCACCATTCCATATTTTTCTTCTTTTATGTATAAGAAGTAGAGAATCAGAGAGGTTACTTAATAACTTGCCCAAGAACACTCAGGTGGGAAAAGGTGGTTTAGGATTTGAATTCAGGTTCATGCAGTTCAAAAGCTCATTCTCCTTGTCACTCAACCACACCATCTTCCGGCCCTTGGTGACTGTATTTTTTATGCAGAAACTTTTTATGCAGTCTCCCAAATTAAATACAACAGTTTTCTTTGATTCTCCCACTATCTCATTGCTATATTCTATCTATCACCAACCTGTCAATTCTACCTTGAAAAATATTCTTTAAGTCTCTTCCTTCCTCATTTCCTGCCACTTCCTTAGAACACTTGTTGGTTTTAATTGCCTCTGAGCTCCCATGCAATCCTCACTTTGTGCTGCAAAGGTAACTTGAAAATTCCAAATCTGATTGCATCATCACCCTGTTTAAGAGCCATCAAAAATATTCTTGACTGACTAGATAAAACCCCAAATCTTCAATATGGCACAAAAGGTTCTTCAACTATCTGTGGTTCATCATTCTGGACTCACCTCCCACATCCCTGCTCTTTCTCCTCTTCTCTTCCTGCTTATATTTTAAAAACTAATATAGTATGACATGTACACATACACACACATACACACAGACACACACACACAGGAATATATGAGAAAATTGGTGGAATCTTCATGGTATTGTACCAATGTCCATTTCCTGGTTTTAATAATGTTGCTATAGTTGTGTACGTTGTTATCAGTGGGTGAAGCTGGATGAAGCATACACTAGACCTCTCAGTACTATTTTTTGTAACATTTTGTGAATCAAATTTACTGAAATTAAAAATAAAAAAAATTAAGTGATGTGTGTTTTCTAAGAAGCAGATTAAGAAAAATCATATTCATGTAATTGCTACACGCTTAAATTAATACATTATTACATCATATGACTCCTCTAGCTTGCTCTTTGGGCCTGCACTATGAAGGATATGATGGATTTCTCTTTGAAAAGGAGAACAAAACCCTTCCTGGCGGCAGAGAAGAATCTGGACTTTTAACAGATAGACCTAATTTAATTGACCTGGTTGAATTCCAACTCTGCTGTTTATAAGCTAAATTAACTTGGAAAGTTCTTTTATCATAATTATAATAAATATGATAATATAATCTACTTCCTATGAATTTTGGAAATATTTAAACAAGATAATGTATGTAAACAAGCTAATATATTTTTAAAAGACAAAATGTAAAGTGCCCAGCAATAATAAGTACCCTTACTTCTCTTTTTCTCTCACAGCCACGTAGGCAAATCCTGTTGCCTCTACCTGCAAAATGAATCTGGAATCCTACTTCTCATACCATTTTGCTATCATCTTAGCTCAAGCCGCCATTGTCTCCCACCTGAATCATTCCAACAGCCTCTTAACTGGTTTCTTGCTTCTGTTGCTGATAACTGACATCTAATCTGAACCCAGAAGCTGGAGTTATCCTGCCAACGTGTAAATCAAAACAGGTTATTCCTCAGCTCAGAATCCTCCAATGGTTTGTCCTCCACTCAGAGTAGAAAGCAAAGCCTTTGAAATGACCCCACAGTTCTCCTTGTCCTTTCCTACTTTCATCCCTGACACATATTCTTTTCAGTCTTTTCCCTGCATTCCCTGCTCACTCACTCAGCCCAGTGCAGGCTCCGAGACTAGAACTTGTACATCAGCATTTCATGTAGCTGGATTGTTCCTCCCCCAGGTATCTACAGAACTGTTTTGCTTTTACTTTTAAGCCAGTGCTCAAAAGTCCTTCTCAATGAGGCTTTCTCTAACCACTTTATTTAAATTTGCAATCCCCATCACTTCCCCCTTTCCTGTGCCTCATATCACTCACCGTTTATTAACGTGCTACGTAATTCATGTATTGTCTATCTCCCCCTATAGAAATGCAAAATTGCATTTTGTCCATTTTATTCATCACTATGTTCATTGTGTAGAACAATGCCTGGCACATTGTTGGCCCTCAATAAAATCTTCTAAATGAATGAAAAAGTGAATTCTAACAGAGTGAGTAACTTAAGTAAAGCCACAGATGTGTGGAAAAGCAGGATCCATTCAGGAAATTGAACGATCAGTGTGATGCATGTCAATTGCATGTAAGGGAAAGGAAAAAGATGGAGTTGAAGACAAGACCAGCCACATGGACCTTTGACAAGTGCCATTGCACAGGGCTTCTTGTCATGAGGGTCTTTTTCTTGGTTGAATGGTGTTTCTTGGTTGACACTTGAAAATCTTAAGCATTTCTTAACAGCGAGCCTTGTATTTTTTCTGCAGTGGGCCTGAAAATTATGCAGCCAGTTTGGGTTGGAGAAGTAGGAAATATTCAAAAGGCTTCATATGCTGTGTTAAGGAATGACAAGGCCACATTTGTGTTATAGAAAGGTTAGCCTCGCAGCAGTTTGGAAGATGGAATGGGGAAGCTGGGAATATCACCCCAGCTCATCTCTGCCTAGCCATCCTACTCATCCTTTAAGACCCACTCAGAAATTGCCTCCCTCTGATGCCCTCCCAGTCACCTCTAGGTAGAGCTAACACTGCCTCCCCTGGCTAAACCTCTGACAGTGTCTCCACATATCTTTAAATCTTTTATGCTGTTTCAGTCATTATACTCAAATGATTTGCAAATATATTTATCTACCTGTTTTAAACCAGGAATTTCTCAAGGTTAGGGTTATGTCTTACTTGGTTTGGAAATGTTGTGTTTAGTGCAGTGGTTGGAGTGGTTGGCATATAGCACATACTCAGTGAGTTTGATGAGTGAATGGATGAATGAAAGAATGACTGTTAAATGAATATATAACATATCAAAGTGGACCTGCAAACCCACTTTTATTTCATGCCCATGTGTTGATGAAGTGACATGTATTAGATCATTTTCACACTACTGATAAAGACATACCCAAGACTTGGCAATTTCCAAAAGGACGAGGTTCAATGGACTTACAGTTCCACATTGCTGGGAAAGCCTCACAGTCATGGTGCAAGGCAAGGAGGAGCAAGTCACGTCTTACATGGATGGCAGCAGTGAAAGAGAGAGCTCATTCAGGGAAACTCCCCCTTATAGAATCATCAGATCTGGTGGACTTATTCACTATCATGAAAACAGCATGTTTATTGAAACCCCATGATTCAGTTACGTCCCACCAGGCCCCTTCTGCAACATGTGTGAATTCAAAATGAGATTCGGGTAAGGACACAGCCAAACCATATCATGAGTATATATCATGATATGGTTTTGCTGTGTTGATAGGATGAGAAGAAAAAGGAAGAAGAGGCAAGGGCCCATTCAATCTTCTAATTTGACTTCATCCTCCTTCACCTCTCCTCTTCCCTTCCCAGCAGACATCAGAGTCTTCTATAGGCCATTCTTTATTTCCTCACCTCTCACTCTCTCTTCACTGTACTCCTGGTTCTCTTCTGCCACTTTCCCTCCACTACCAGTCACCCCCAGGCCAATGAATCTGGTGAACATTCAGTCCTCATTCTATTTACCTTTCCAGTACGATTTGCCATCGCTGAGTGCTCCCACCTTTTGTACCACTATTATCTCAGGAATTTCATTACACAACACTCTCTTGGTTTTCCACTCACTTCTATGAATGCTTCCTTCCTAATCTCTTCTGCAGGTTAATCGTGTCCTATTTATTTATTCAGTGTTTGAGTTTATAACTCCATTTTAGGCTCTCTCTTTTGAAAATTGTGTATCTCCTTCCTAATCCATCTCATCCACTGTAAGGCTTCAATGACCTCCTAGACTGATATGATTCCCAGATATATAACTTTAACTCAGCTTCCTCCTCTGAGCTCCAGATTACAAATATCAACACCATCCTGACGTTGCCTCTTGGATGTCTTAAAGAAACTTAAACTCATTGTGTTCCAAACCATGCATGCTATCTTCCCTTACTGAGCAAGTCTACTCACTAGGCAACTCACACTCCAGACTTTTTTTATCTCCTCAGCACAAAATGTTTTTACTTTTTCCCTTCACCCAGAAAAAGCCCCTCTCGTTGTCTAGCACTCATCTCCATCGTCAGTTCCACAGGGAAGCCTTTCTTATGTTTCCAAATGAGTCAAAACCTCCATTATATCACATAACCTTTTTTCATGGCCCCCATCACAATTATTATGCCATGTTTGTGCAATTATTTAACAAAGATCTAAACCCCAGTGCCTGCTCCAGGAGACCATAAGACCCAGGAAGACAGGGGCTACATTGTTTCTATTCATCTTTTTACCCCCAACCTACCACATCACCTGGAAAATAGTAACTGCCCAATAAATATCTGTTGTTTTCATTCTAGTAATAAAAATAATTGTAACCACAACTTATTGAGCACCAGAGATTGAACTATGACTGACTGTCATTGTCCCATTTCATCTTTAAAATATGCTTTGAGAATCAATATGCAAAAGTCAGTAGTCGATTCTGTACACTAATAACGACATTCAAGCTGAGAATGCTTGAAATAAAGAATGCAATCCCATGTACAATAGCCACAAAAAGATAATGCACCTGGAATACATCTAACCGAAGATGTAAAAATCTCTACAAGAAGAACTACAAAGAACTGCTTAAAGAAATTACAGATGACACAAATAAATGGAAAGACATTTCCTGCTCATGGATTGGAAGAATCAATATCACAAAAATGGCCATATTGCCTAAAGCATTATCAACTTCATAATTTACACATTTACATTAGGCTATTTTCCATGACATAGACACATATGTGTTTTGATCACACATGTAGTATAGAGAGAACTTTAAGTGAATTTTTAAAATGTGGCATCTCTCCATCAGAATGACTGTCATCTCTGGACTTGATGTTGGTTGAGGACCACAGGTTACCAGTGCCCACTTGGAAATGAAATTTTGCTATGGAAAGGAAGATTCAAACTCACCATCTCCATTGTGGTGGTCTGTGTCCAACCTCCTGATCCCATCCAACCAGTTGTCCTCACTTGGAGAAGAGTCGATGTCACCAAAGATACTTCCATGTAGCCAAGATTTAGAGGTACTGAGGTTGAAGAGAGAAGAAAAGGGATGGCGGATTCTCTTTTTCTTTCTAAATATCCTAGAGAGAAATGAAAGCATGGAAAACAATGAATAATGGTTACTTGTAGTTCAAAACTGTGATTTGGTACACCAGTACATCTCTACAACCCAAGTCTGCTCACTGCATTAATTCTACAGAAGTTTCTCAAAATTATGCTGTGTGCCTGGTCCTTGGTTCAACGTCGAGAAAAATAAAAGACAAAATTTTGCATGCGATGTTTGCAATGTTTTATGGGAGAAAGAAAAAAAATAACGCACATATAGGTTATGCTTTTCTAGAGTGTATTCTGTGCCCGGCATCTTTCTTAGTGCTTTACAAAGATTAACTCACATTATCTTCAGAACAACTCTATGAAACAGGTGCTATTATTATCCCATTTTTCTGATTAGGAAACTTAGGCACAGATAGGTTCAGTCACTTGGCTGAGGTCATGCAGCTAGTAAGTGACCTAGTTGGGATGCAAACCCAGAGAATCTGCCTCCATGGTCTCTGCTTTTGATCACTATGCTATATAGCGGATATATGCTCTGAAAGGATTACCTAGAGGCTGCTCTGAGGGCACCAGGAGTGGCATTACTAATTGATAATCGAGGGAGGTTTTCTGGGAGAAATGAGTGCTAAGCTTCATGAGATGATCTGATCTGTTCATTGAGGAGCCAGTGGGTGTGATTAGGTCATGCCAAGAAGTGAAGCTGGACAGGTAAAATGAAGGCAGATAATGATGAACTTCATATATGATGCAGGGGGGTTGGAATGTAGTGTTGGAACAAAGGGAGATGGGGAAGAGAGTGGTAATGACATAATTTGATTTGCATTTCCAAAATTATTGGTAACAGAGGATGGCTCAGAGGTGCACAACTGAGGGCAGAGAGGCTAATCAAAGTGCACAGGGGAGTCACTGTTCCGTATCTGCCTGTGATGTGTCAAGCCCTGTGCTGAACACACTATACTGAGGGCCTGAACTAAAGCTAGGTAACGCAAGGCCAAGTGGGACAGCTTTCCCATCACATGCAAGATGGGCATGGAACAGTTTTCCCAACACAAAGTGCTGCTCTCCTCTTGGGACATCCATGGCTGCTATCAGAAGATGCATTTTGAGTTGTGTTTTCCCTTGGTGGTTAGGATGAATTACAAGCCTTGTGCATTCTTTATCCTGATGGTTCTCAACCAGGTCGATTTTGGCTGCAGGGAACATCTGGCAGGTTCTGGAGACATTTTGTTAACATTACACTAGGGAGGAGTCCTCCTGGCAGATGGTGAGAAGAGGCTAGAGATATCATTAAACATCCTACAATGCACAGGGCAGTTGCCCACAGCAAAAATTATCTGGTATGAAATGTGAATAGTGCTACTTTTGAGAAAACCTGCTTTATTTGAACGCTCTCTGTCATAGGTTTCAGGAATGGCAAGTTGAGAAAAATGGTAGAGTTCATGACAGTGGAACACATTCCTGTGAAAATGAACCAAATTTGAAAGATTCTTGTAGGTTCTAAGATGAGGTCATTTAAAACTGAATAAACTCGAATTAGAAATGTTTATTCATTTATTCTTATATTCAATAATTTGTTAAACAAAACTTTATTAAGTACCTATTAGGGGATGGGCACTCATCAAATTTGAGAACAAAAAGTATGTATAAAACGTCTTTAACATCAAGAATATCTACATAAGGTGGGCTAGAGTTAAAAGTGGTGGTTGAAAATTGATTCTCTAAAGTTGAACAATCTGAGCTGAAATCCTATTTCCACCTAATAGCCCTGTGAGCTTGGGAAAGTTACTTAACCTCTCTGAACTTGTGTCTCACCTTTGTGAAACAGGAATGGCAGTAATAAAATCTATGTCATAAGATTCCAGAGCAGGAGTTGAAATCAAATGGTAAGATACATGCAAAGCAGTTGAAATAGCCCTTGGCACACAGAAAGCAATCAGTGTATTTATTTTATTTGGTTTTTTAAAAACAAATATTGGCAGTTATATAAGGTGAAATGAGAAGAAAGTAAATAGAGTAAAATCTCCCTGAAGGAGGGTGTCTAGCCAATGTAAGAAAACCACCTTGCAGTAGCCTGGCCTGGAGAATGCACTGGAAGGTGAGTCATCCAGGAGGCATCAGAATACTCAGGTAACCATTGCAGAAATTTAAGCAAGAGGTAATGGTGGCCTGAATGAATAAAATAGCTAGGGGATCAAAGAAAGAGGAACAATTCAAAATCATTTTAGGAATTAGACTCGTTTGGTCTTAAATTTTATGGTAGAAACAATAAACTTAGCTGAACTACGTCTTTCTGCTCCCTTGCCATTAGGTGTGGTCACGAGTCTAAGGTCTCCCCAGGGGAATATGAGCAAAACTGATCGGTGCCATTTATTGGCTGGAGCCTTGAGCAAAGTAGCTGTTCTTCCACCTCACTTTCTTTCTACTTTTACCAGTTGGCTCCAGGCAATTCCACCATGCCACAGCCTCTACAAGGTTCGCATGGTTAGCAGATGCATTTGACAGAAGAAATCTGGATCTCTGAGTCTCTGCTTCAAGGTGAGTCACCAGTTAAGCTAGAACAGTCATGCTGGACAATTACATGTGCAAGAAATAAAAACCAGATTTTATTAGATCTAAAGGTTACTACCTGTACTTTTAGATCTAAAGGTTACTACCCGTACCATCTTATCCTGACCAACTGACTAAAAGGGATGTGTGAATAAAAAGGTCAAGTCGGGAGAGACTCTCAATGAAGGATAAATGGTGCTTCTTTTCTTTGAAATAGAAATCATGTGAGAAACATTTTGAAAGAAAGAGGACATTTTCTATTTTAGACATACTCAGTTTGAGATGCCTATAGGAAATCCCTTCCTCCCTCATCAACAAGGGATGACCCTTGTTGAAGAGGGTCAGAGAATAAGGGTTCTCTGACCCTTATTCCAACTTGCCCATATAAGTTGAATTGACCATTGAGATGGTAGCAGATTCATGCACATGGAGGCTTGAAATGTACCTGTTGTTGGGGTAAGTCCTCTTGCATTTACGTAGTTATAACACAAAGAACATTCTTCTGTGGTCCACTGGTCTCAAAGTTGGAATTCACACTTGATTCCAACTGAAGCCAAGCTCCACCTGGTTCAGATTAAACCAACCTACTTCAACTGACTTCCAAACATGTGTGTGCTCATTGTTTTATATCATTAAGATTTGGTAGTTATTTGTTACACAGCTATTGTGTCAATAGCTGATGGGTATAGTCAGCATGTGGGTGATTTTGAAGCAAAAGAAAATGAATGTGATCATCCAAATTTGTGATCCAAAGTGAACTCATCCATCTTGTTTCCTCAAACATGCTCCTTGTTTCTTTTTGATCTTGGCAAATGGTCCTACCATCCATCCAGATGACAGAGCCAGAGTCCTAAGATTCATGCAAGTGTTCTTCATTTGCTGGACCTCCCACATCTTTGGATGTCCAGGATTCCACCTCTTTACCGTTCTTTTTATCTATTTCCCCACCCTTACTCTTTCATCATTGCTACCACGATTTGCTTTCAATCCATATACACCCTGCCTTCATTTTTCCCATTGTACTCACTTTCTACTCATGTATTCACACACATTCAACCACCCAACTTTTCCATTGCAGTCACTATTATTTTTCGAAGAATAAATCTGATAATTTGTCAATGGCCTCTCTTTATTTATAGAGTACAGTTCAAACTCTTTAGCCTAAAATTTAATAGCTTTCATCCAGCCCCTGTTCCTGTGCTCAGTCTTCTTTCTTACAAAACACCCCTTCTCACCCTAAGTTTGTCCCTACCAAACTATCTGCTATTCTCCAAGTCTTACCAGGGTCTCTCAGAAACCCATACCTGTGTCATCTTTCCAGAAGTCCTCTTTCCTACTTTTATTTTAACTAACATCCTACACTGTTCAAGACTTAAATCAGCCATCACCACCTCTAGTCAATTTGTTTTTACCTATTCCCCAGGTAAACTAGATTCTCTTTCTTTTTCTCCTTCACTGCCCCCTGACAGGTTTCTATCCTGGCACCCATATTACTTCACTGGTTTCATTTGTTTTCATGTTGGCTATGCCTGTCCCCTCTAACCCTTTGTATTTCGACAGTTTGGAGCAATAATGCACTCCTTATAAAAGACAGTTGAGTGAGTAAATGAATGAATGAATGATTAATGGATGGATTGGATTTCAAATTTCCTTCTGTAATATGCTTTGCTTACCTAACTAAGTTCTCTTTGTAAATAACACGGGTCTGAGATGGGTTCAGAGTTATGTTGCCATCTTTGTTGCACAGGAAGCTGTCTTCGGTCCAAATGTAGTAGCCATTGGTGAGGAGTCTGGGACTTCGGCGACAGGTATAGTGGGAGCCCGTCAGGGGATTTATGGAGCAGCATTCAAAAGAATGGTCACCATCTAGGACATCACAGGTGAAACTAAGAAGGAAAAGGGAAAGCCTTTTAAATCTCTATCTATTACACCAGTCCTGTATAAACCACATCTCATCACTGTGAAGGAAAATAACCTCTTTCCAAATATGACTGTGAATTACCTCTGCAACCATTAGGAATGCCACTCTTAACCTTCTGGGCTTCATCTCCTCACCTACGACAGCATTGAACTACAGAACCTTTAGTGCTTCTTTCTGTTTTAAACTCTGGTGAAAACACGATGGCTAACACTTTCCTCATCATATGATGAACCTACATTTGATGTTAGTCTACTATATTTTTTTTGATGAAATGTTGGCAGCTCAAAACCCCCTCTACTCCCTTACTTTGAATAGCTCTCCAGTTGCCATATTTTTATTCTCATCACTGTAATAGAGACATTAAAATTATGTGGTCACCAGAAACATATGAAGTACAGGGTGAACAAGCACTCAAAGAGATCTTTTTTGGCCTTTGCAAATTTTTGCCCAGGTTGGCTGCACACATGGGCACGCGGTTACCTTCTCTGATGTTGTAGCCAGGGAAGTCTCATAATTATTTGAGTAAATCTATATGTGTCTTAGGTTTAAAAAACAATCACATTGAGTTGAGCATGGTGGCATGTGCCTATAGTCCCAGCTACTCAGAAGGCTAAGGCAGGAGGACCCCTTTAGTCCAGGAAGTTTGAGGCTGCAGTGTGCTATTCATGCCTGTGAATGGCCACTACACTCCAGTCTGGGCAATATAGTAAAGCCCCTGTATCTAAAGGAAGACGGGGAAGAGAGAGAGAGAGACAGAAGAGGAGGAAGAAGGAGGAGGAGGAGGAGGAGAAAGAGATGGAGGAGGAGGAGGAGGAGAGGGAGGGAGGGAGGGAGGGAAGGAAGGAAGGCAGGCAGGCAGGAAGGAAGGCAGGCAGGAAGGAAGGCAGGCAGGAAGGAAGGATGGAAAGAAGGAAGAAGGAAGGAAGGAAGGAAGGAAGGAAGGAAGGAAGGAAGGAAGGAAGGAAGGAAGGAATAAATTACAGGCCCCTATAATTGACAGGGAATCAAATTATTATGAAAATATTTCATAAATCTTAAATTTCTTGAGGTGAGATTTAGTGGAAGCCTGGTTACAATAGTAATACAGCCATATTGGAGAAAAAAATATGTTATGTGCTATTTCTTCAAAAATGCTTGCATTTTTCTCCTCTCTTCTCCCTTAAAAAGTATTTTTCTTTCTCCTAAATTCCAACTAATCTCATTGTCATTTTTGTGTATGTATGTCTGCCTCAGTAATTATTTTATACATTTCTGGAGGACAGATACTGTGAGCCTAAAAAATTTTCAGTATGTAAATAAATTCAATACGAGTTACTGAATGAAATCAGCTGACAGACTATGGAAATCTGGTAAAATATGTGAAAATATATAGTGTCTAAATATATTTGAATTCCTGGGGTGGTTTTGTGTCAATCAGTTAACAGTGATGATATTATAATAGCTCTCATGTGCTCTTTACCTTGATGTTTTCAATAATTTCTGTATATTATGTGTTCCACTTAATTGCATAAATTGGGATCATAGGTTTCCAGAGATCACAGATTCTAAGAATCAGAAGGAGTTTTGGCGGTCATGCCTGCAGCCCTACCAAATTCTGCTTGTTCCATCTACTGTATTTCCAGCAAACATTGTCCTGTCTCTGCATGCAAACCTTTGGTAAGAAGGACCCCACACTTACTAAGCACCTCCATGCTCCTTAACTGAACAAACATGACTGGAGCATACTGGAAAAGACAGGAAATTTGAAGTCATCCCCCCTGCCCAAGTCCATAATTCCAACTCTTTCAGTGCTTAGGTAAGTAACCATAATCCAGTCACTTAGCCTCTTAGACTCTTTCCTTATCTGTAAAACAAGAAAACAAATCTCCATTTTGGAGTTATCTTAATAATTAAATAAGAAAATAAATGGTCTGTGCTTAGCACCTAGTATGGGTCTCATAAATGTTCACTTCCTCCCTTCCTTTCTTTCCCTTGCTGTGCTGTTCCTTCCATTTTCCATTTGAGATCTAATCAGCTATCTGAAGAATTTTCATGTCCTCCCTGGGTCCTCGCTTCTCCATGCTAAAAGTGCTACAGTTCATTTAACTGGTCTTTATACGACCTAACCTAGTTTTGATCCCTTAGCTGTCACAGTTTGATGGCTTTCCTCTCAGTAGTCTCCACTTTTTAAAAATCCTCTTAAGTAACATGGCAACCATAGAACCCAACCCTTTAGGTGTGTCTGCCCAAGGAATATAGAGATTATCACCTCCCTCATTATAGAATCCAAGTCTTTAGCAATGAAGCTGAAGTCACATTAGCTTGATTCTTTTATTCCCTCCAGTTACCAACATATTATCACACTGTTAAGTCTACGACCATATCACTCTGAACGCACCTGATCTCATCTAAATAATCTATCAGTTTCTAGTCTTTCCCTGTATATTTAGATGTGCTTTTCCTCTCTTAGATTTTTGGACTAATTTTACATTAAAGAGTCAATATGTAATCAAAACTTTGCAGATACATAGAGCTAAGTTTATACCCTGGGTTTCAATCCTGGCTCTACTTCTTGCTAATTATTCTCTTCAAGGCTTGGTATTTTTTTTTTTTAACAAATGTGAATCTGTGCAACAAAGATTACCCAAAATAAACCTCACAGATTGCATAAATATTAAATGTCATAGTTTAATGGAGGTTGTTAATGACCATGCTTTCCATTGCCTAAGTGTGGTAAGCTAAATCTGTTGGCTACCATTTGAATGAGCTATTCATATTGTGCTATTAGAATTTTGAAGGATTATGATTATATTACATAATATTTTTAATATATTTACATGATACAAATATGTTGGAATCTACATGTCCTCAATACAAATCATTGATAAAAATATTGACTAGTACGAGTAGAAATTTGAGACTTTGGAAACACCAAAAGAGACTATTTCCAGACATGCACTGACACACTCTAGCAGACATTTTGGTTCTTGTTACCCCTATTAATAAATAAGAAAATGGAGGCTCCAGTAGGATAAACTCATTGTTCAATAACTCAGGGCTGATAAGTGGGAGAGGCAAGGGAAATATCTAGATCTTTTTTCTCCTACTCTAGTGCTCTTTCTTCTATATTATTTTGCCTACTTGAGAATTAATGAGGCAACTGTATGGTCCTGGACACTTAGGAGGTTTCAGAGTTCTGGACCTGTATTTCTAGCTGTACTCCAATTTCCCAGGTTTCAACATTCAACAGTTATCAACTACGGCCTCCCTGACCCCCAGCATCTTTCCTTTTTAATGTCCCTGCCTTCATCCTCTCTTGATTGTAAACAAAATGAAGACACTCTTCCAACACCCAGATTATAGTTAAAAAAAAAAAAACCCTTCTGAACAATATCAAACATTTAGAGCAGATAACAAAGTTATCTCTAGATCTTGACTCTTTGCCTCATTCTGTTGTAAACTTAGTAGCTGATTCTTTTCAGCAGGTCCTTTCCAATTCGTTTCTAAAGTCCAATCCTACAGTAAAGCCCAGCAATGTGCCTGACTGCCTAAAGACAAAGTCCTTTCCTTTCATGTGAGGTTACTAACTAGGCCTTAGAAGAGCCTAAATCATGCCTCCCAGGATAGGACAAAGACTGGGTGGTGAAAGGACAAATATCATTAGGGTCATTAAAGAATTTTAGATAATTACACACTGATAAATTACAAACTGTCTCTCATCTTTCTGTACTTCTGCCTCATGCACTACTGAACTTCTGATATTTTTACATTTAAACGTTTATATACAATGTACTTAGTCTAGTAATAAAATACTATTTCAAATGAATGTGATTTATCGAACACTTACCATGAGTCTGGCCCCCCACTTTGCCCTTTATCTACTTTTCACAAATCTCTAAAATTTGTGATTTAGTATTTCCTGATCATCTAGCAGGAGAAAAAAGAAAGATTTACAAAAACAGCAAATTACTTGGGTATTTTACATAGCTAGTAAGTGGCAGAGCTATGATATGAGACCTGGTCTATCTGACTCTAAAACATGGATCCTTTCCACATGTGCCTCTGCTCATATGGATTCATTTGGTAGTATCAGGAGGCCTACAGTTTGCAAGAAGGAGTGGGTCCTAAAAGGAATATATGATCTCTTTATATTATAGGCACATTTCACAAAATGTTAGGAGAAACATCAACTGACGTCTTTATAGGAAATAAGAGACAGTCAGAGAGTCAGGAAAAAGGGAAGAAAAATGACCCCCTTGCAGGACTTCAGCAAAAGGGTAGGCTATACATGTTTTAGTAGAGCATGAAATTCAGTCATCGGTATAGGATTCTGTTGCTCTTGTAAAACACGATAGGAAAGCATATTTAAAAGGACATCAGTTTGAGAAAAAGTAGCCATTCATCAGTATCCAATAGTTTCACCACTTGCCGGAGAAACAATTCAGAGACATGATATATAATATAATATGATATATATGTATATATGCATTATTCTATTAGGCAAGTTTTCATTTAGCATGCACATGGCACTGAAAAGATATAACATATCAAAACTAGATGATAGCTAAAATAATAATTTCAAACCAATAACACAACAAAGCAAGACATACAGGAAAATAATAATAATAATTGCTATTATTATTTTGAGATGGGATCACGCTCTGTCACCCAGGCTGGAGTGCAGTGGTGCGGACTTGGCTCACTGCAACCTCTGTCTCCCAGATTCAAGCAATTTCCCCGCCTCAGCCTCCTGACTAGCTGGGATTACAGGCGTGTACCACCACCACACCCAGTTAATTTTTGTATTTTTAGTAGAGACGCGGTTTCACCGTGTTTTACTCAGGCTGGTCTTAAATTCCTGACCTCTAGTGATCTGCTGATCTTGGCCTCCCAAAGTGCTGGGATTACAGGTGTGAGCCGCTGTGCCCAGCCAAGAATGACTTTTTTTTTAAAGAAGGCCCATAAAATACCTTGGAAAAATGCATGTGGGAGAAAACTGTCCAGCATATTCTCTTTCCAAACTGGAAGGACCTGTATAAACAAATGAGAGAGAAGTAGAATGTATCATACCTGATTAACAGTCATAAATGTTGATACATGTGTATCACTTGTGCAACAGTATACACTGTTGCAAATATCACTAGTATAAAAGTATACACCATTGCAAACATGAAGGAAGGTAAGAAGATGGGAATAGCTGATGTCGCAGCCTCAACAGGAAGACTCCAACTAGTGTGGACACCCTTATTACCAGGGCTCTAGAGGAAGCAAGACATAAACTAGGGACTTGTATCTCCGTCTCCCTTGTAACATTCCTTTAGAAGTTCCTTAGTGCAGGATGAGGCAATAATAAACCATCAGCACCAAACTGAGCTCATGAAAGGATGGGGAAAAAAACGTCTTGTGTGCAGCAGGAGAAAACCCGAATCAATTACCCAATGTATTGGTTATTGTAGCTTACTCAGTAATCTGTGGAATTCAATCATTGTTCTAGACTCTCCCTCATTAGTGCATATTAAGACACTTATAGGGTAAAATAGTGAGCAAAAGCCATTAGTGGGGAAGAAATAAAGTTTTGTTTTATATAAGATTTTCTAATGTATAAATACTGTGAGTATTCTTAATTATAGAAATCTCATCCATCCATTCATTCCAGTTTAACCAAAGGCATGACAACAGACTTTACTTGGTGAAAGTTGTAGTTGATTAATATTCTAAACTCTAAAGCAGAATTTGACTGTGTGCAGAGATGGTGTCAATAGTCCTAACAGACAGGCTTAGTGAAATTTGATTCCATTATGGACAATTAGTATCTAGGACAAAGAATGGAATTTAGACTTTCAGATTGGGTTGGTTGATTTGTAAAGCGAAAACTGTGGGTGTGTGAGGGAGAGTGAGAAGTGGGTTTCGGGAGAAAATAACAAGAGGAAGGAAGAAACTTGAAACCACTACCGTTTTCACAGCGCCCTTATTTTCTGCAAGTAGCTATCAAAATCATTCAGCATTTTTTATACACAAACAGTTTTGCATCTTAATAGTAGCTGATAAACAGTCTCCTTTCACATTTATGCACAGGCATCTAAAAAAAACGGTGATTTTTTTTTTTTCTACTAGGAGGAAAAATACCACATTTCTTTCAAGGAAAAAAAAAAGAAGTGAAAATCATTGCCAAAGTGAACACTGGCATTTAAGAAGCACAAGCTACTGACAGATGGTTAATGGTCTGAGTATCAGCAAAATCAAAGCAAGGAAATTGCTAAAAGGAGTCTAATCGTTCAAAAGATAATTGCGTATCGCAGTTCTTCTACATTTACTTGCTACTGGTGTTGACATCAGTTGAGATATTCGGTACATCTTGGGAAGGCCGCTTGTTCAAACTTCACAGATTCTCTGCAAAAGACGTTAAAAAAAGGTGGACTATATATTAAAAATAGAAAATTATGCCAAAACAGATGGCATCTACTAATTGCACTAGTCAGATTTGTTTACTGAAATAATACAGATACAGAATTGAAGGTAGGGGACCAGATTGAAGACACAACTTCTCAAAGTTGTGTCTGTCTCTATGACTCTGAACATTTGCTATTGCCTCACTCCATGCATCTCAATAACCTTTTCCTGTAAATAAGAACCACACTTTATTTGGATAATCTAGACTTAAAGAGGTTGATTTGTAATCCAAAGAAAATAATGAAAGTGAGGTATTTGATTAAGAAATCTTAATAAAATGACTGGTTCTAACAGTCATTTACCTTCAAAAACAAACATATTTGTATTTTAATCAACTGACACAAATCAACTTCATTATCAAGTTTCAAACGGTGCTTGGAGATTGGCGTCTCTTTTGCCCAGCAACTTAAACCACTGACAGGTAGCCACAGAGAGTGTTTTTTTAATAGTTTTTACCAGCTTGGACATTCCTAAACATCGTAAGTAACATTGCACTAAAGATTGCATACCACTGGGAAGATTTTAGAACCCAGTTCCCATGAGCACATAACTTAATTTCTCAATCACAAATTAAAAACATACCAAAGTATGCAAATTATGCAAACTTTGATCATTTACTGTCTATCAAATAGAACTATCTTCTGTTGACTATGAAACTTTTGTATATAGTATCACTGTCCTAGTCGTTTTATAAGGTAGGACCAAGTTCTTTTCTGATTCACCACCTATGTCCACATTTTGCAACATGAGAACTAGCAGTAATGGATTGTTTTTACAGCTGTAATACAATCAATCAAACCAGGCGAATTCTACAGCTTTAAGTCTAATATTTCAATAAATTATATACAAACCCTATTAGGAAAATGCAAAGCTAATGGAGACCTTTAAAGATGTCAGGATAACTTTTCGGCCTTCCTTGGAAGATCTCTAAATCAAAGCACATATTTACAAATTTCATTTGTTTGGGATACAAAATAAATCACAATAATATAATGTAATATATCAGTATGTTACTTGTCCTTTTCATTTTTGATCAATATTGTATGGATGTGCCCAGCCTAAATAACCTTATCTTAGTGTTCCCCACGTATTAAACTTAATTTTCAGCCTACAAATCTTGCAGCAGAAAGCAAGATCTTATTGTTCTATCTTACAAGTGCTTATAGCAATCTACAGGAAGTATGCTGACATTCAATTGAAAATTAGTAACAGTAGGGAAAAAACCCTTCAGGTACGGATCTAAAACTTTTCAAGAAACAGAATCTACCAGTTCCATCAAAGCAACACATCTGTTCTGACAAATAGTGTGCTCATATGTGTTTCTTCCAAAGGGAGTTCCCAGCCTCTTCTTCCAATTGACAAAGGACAAAATTTTACTGAAATAGAAAGCTTCCTGTTGTTGACCCTGGAGAAATAGAGGACAGAGCAGTTCCTCAGCTGAAATGTCTGAATGTCAACAGATGCAGAAGTCTCTTAATAAAGGAATCCACCCTACCTTCTCACAGATGCCCACAGGCATTGCTGTACACAGGTGCTTGCAGAGTTTTGTCTTCAGCAGCCTCTTGTTCTCATCTGTTTCCAGGTACAAATGAGTGTATAGTTCTTGGGAAAGTCAGCCTTACAAACCGTCTTGTTTTCTTTTGAAAACAGCCTGTGTAACCAGAGGCAAAGAGGCAGAATGAGGTCACACTTCCTGTTGGGCTCACATCAGTAGCGTTCACACTGAGGAGTGTGGTGAAGATTTCAGATAGTTTCCTGGGCCAGTGGCAGGGAATCTGCAGCCCATGTGTCAGGCCAGCTGGTTACACCCTGGTCACTAGAGGGGTGGTTTTCTGAGCTAACTTGTCTGTGAGAATGTGAGAAAGACTTTTAGCAAACTGACACTTCCTGCTCATCATCTGGCCACATTCATTTATAAGTAGTGCATAGTAGTGATCTTTGTCCAAATCACTGAAATTTATTGAGGATAATGCACTGATGCCATTAAATTCAGAATACTATTAAATAGCCAAAGCTTGATCTTCCAAAAATTTCTATAGAGGCAATATATTTATCCACTAAAGGCTGGGCTTTACAAAAAACTATATAGATGGCATTTTACATACACATTATAGTAGAGCGCAAGTACTTGATGCTGTTTGTGGGTTTCTATACATCTGTACTATTATAAGTGATAAAAGAAATATACATTCAAACACATTCCAGCAACATCGAGGTACCACTGCATAGTGGAAAGAGTGTGGGTTTTGCGGTCACATAGAGATTCAACCTGTGTACCATCCTAGTTGTGTGACCTCAGATTTGTGAGTTACCCCTCTTAGTTTCAGTGTTCTTGATTATAAACATAGTAATATATATGTCACATCATGGCTTGAAGAATTAAATGAGATAAAAGAAATGAGAAATAATTCAGTCCTCAGCACAGACGTACAAGGTGTATTCCTTCTCTGTTTTCTGTAAATCAAGTTCTCTCTTGAGACACCAGCTGGTCAGGCTGGCAGAGAAGTTAATCTCATCCTTTCTTAGGGTTCCATTTCCCCTGAAGTTCTGCCACATGGCAGGATCTTCTGTAGAACATGTACTAGGAAGCAGAAGCTGTCAGGAGAGCCCATCTAATTTCAAAGTTCCCTGTCTCTGGAACTTCATGTCTAATCCTTACCCCTTGAGTGTGGGCTGAAGCTGCTGACATGCTCCTTGTAAACAGAGTAAGGCAAAGGTGCTGGGTTCCACTGCCATGATAAGGCTTCTGTCTTGTTGGACTCTATTACTTTCTTGGCTTGCACACTTTGATGAAGCAAGCTGCTATGGTGGAGAAGCCCACGTAGCAAGGAATCAAGGGTTGTCTCAAAAGCCAGCAAGGGACTGATGCTCCATCCAACAGCCAGGAATTCAGCCAAGAACCAAGTGTGTGAGCTTGGAAGTGGCTCTTTCTCCAGTTGAGCCTTGAGCTGACTGCAGCTTCATCTAATGCTTGATTGCAGTTGAGAAAGACCCAGAAAGAGACAACCCAGGCTAGCCCTGCCCAGCTCCCTGGTCCTTGCAAACTAGGAGGTGACAAATGGTGTTTTAAGCCACCATGTTTTGAGGTAGTTTATTACACAGCAACAGATAACAGATGCATAGACCTAACACAGGTCACTTCCTAAGCCACCTGTCATTGCTGACCACTCAGTCAGCGAGTCTCTGCTGCTTTATTGCCTCCTGTAGAATATAGTCACATTTACTCAAGGCTACTTCTGGTCACCTCTGCCTAGATTTATCAGACAGCTATTCTGTTCCACAGCTGTTTGGTGCTCTCTTTATTGGAATTCACAGTTCTCTTCTTCTCCTTTTCCTGTTTTTTTTTTTCCTTCTTATTCTTCATCCTCCCCCTTCCAGCCTTGGCTTATCTCTTCCAGATGAGAGAGGAAAATCCTTCTGACTCATTTGAGACCCTCTACTCTTCCTGTACCCACAAATCCACTTCTCCAAAGAGCTCACATCAGAAAGACTTTGGTCTATTTTGTTTAAAGATCTGACACATATTAGAACCTTATTATTTATGATCGTAATAATTGCTAACTTTAAGGAGTGCTTACTATGTACCAGGGACTGTTCTAAGCCCTTTCCACACATCAACACATTAATTGTCATGTCAATTCCACGGGAGAGGCTCTATTATTATTCTCATTTTACAGATAAGCAAACTAGTTTAGAGAGTTAACAACCTTGTCCAAATTCACATAGCCACTAAGTGATGAGTAAGCAGAACTAGGATTCAAACCCTGGTGACAGGGTTCCCAAGTTTGCATTCTTAACCTATAAGTGACGAATGATCACATCCAACGTGTTTCAGCATTTCCTACCAACTAGGCGCTGCACTAAACACTATGATCTTGTTTCAACCTCACACAGCCCTAGAAAATAGGTGCAATTATAATCCACATTAGGACAGAGGCTTATAGAGTTTACATGAATCTTTCAGAATTGCCAAGGGCCAGAACTAGAGTCTAACCCCATGGCTCCTCTCTCAATCTTCTCTCTTGAGGCCCACTCACCTTCTCGTTGTTTCTCAAACACTAGACATGAATATACTTCAAGATCTTTGTGGTTAGTGTTCCCTCACCCTAAGGGTCACAGGGATTTCTTCCTCCCCTCCCTCAGCTCCTTGCTCCATTGTCTTGCTACTAAGTTGCACTCTACACCACTCCCTAGTCTCTCCCTGCTTTATTCTTTAGCACTTTTTACCAAGCAATATGTCACACAATTCATTCCTTGTCAGTATATAAGCCTTAAAGATCAGAGAATATTGTCTTTTTTTCCATTTATATAGCCCCAGTATCAAGAATAGTGCTTCTCATATAGTAGGTTATCAATTAATGTTTATAGAGTCAACGAATAAATTAATTGCATCCAGGCAGACTTGCCTTCAGAACTCTTATTCTGCATGTTACAAATTAATGTTTCTAAAAGCATGTTCCACAGAATATTTAATCCTCCACTATTAATGGAGGTGATGTGTGTGGATGGGGTAAAAGATGAGTGTTAAATGTAGGTACAAAAAGTCCTAGAGAACGTGGGTCTCTGTAATAGAAGTCACTATAGAATCTTTTAAATGATATTCATACTCGTTACTATACACAGGACACATGATCTCACCATCTGTCAGAATTATTTGCTTTGAGAATCTTTTTGTCACATATCGTCTCCCAAGACCTGGGTTCCAGAGCTGTATGTTGCAAACTTCCATGTGCTACGAATCACAGAGGATCCTACAGAAGTAAGGCAGTTGGAGACTACGTGTCTCATATCAGCTCCCAGGTAAAGCAAAGCTGCTAGTCTATAAGATACTCTTTGACAGGCAGGATGCTAGAGAAACTCATTTTAGGAAATGCTGACATAAATTGGTGAACTTGACATTCAATTTTAACATACTACCAGCAATGAACAAACATGCCTGCATGCTTGCTTAAATCCTTCATGTACTCATGATCTCCTTTCCTACCCAAGCCTCATCCTGCTCTGGAACGCTGTGACCCATCAGATGGCATCACCTTCCACCCAATCACTCATGCCAGAAAATGAGGACAAATTGTGACTCCCATCCATACAGCTCTTACACTTATCATCTAAGTCTCCACCTTCACTATCTGCTCTGGGAGTCCAACTACGTCCTTCTGTTGCCTGGAATTCTGTGCCAACATGCCCAGAGCACTTGGCCTCCCTCTAATACATTCCCTATGCCATGGCCAGAATGACCTTTCCAATAGAAAATCTTATTATGTCACTTCCCTAATTAAATCCACCAGTGCTTGCCCTTGCTCCTCTCCCCTGTCAAGTTCAAAATCATCTTCATGGCTGCCAGGCCCGATAGGGTCTGGTCCTATTTTTCAGCCTCATTGTTCCCTCAATAGGCCCCATCTTTCTTTTAGAATTCAACCATACTGGCTTCCTTTCAGCTTCTCTTAGCTTTGCTCTACCTCAGGCCCTTGGAATGTGCTATTTTCTTCATCTCCCATCTCTTTCTGAAAGAGCTTTTTTTCTGAGCAGCCTCTCTGACCCTCCTAGACCAGGTTATGGATCCCATAGCTACCTGCACTTCACCTTCAGAGCATACATCACAACTGCAATTAATAAGCCAAATTTCCATCCATGTTGGTTCCTCTTCCTACACTGTGAGTTCTCAGGGAATAAGAAGAATGCTTTTCTTGTTTGCTATTATGGTTTCCAAGATTAGCATAGTAGGCACTTAATAATATGTGAGTAAAATTTAATTTTTTATCATCTAAGTCTGGCTGAGTTTTCCGCCATACATAGCCCAGAAGGGCCAGAAGGAGGTATATGGGAAAAAGCCTGGACAGGCTTATAATCTGGAAGGAGTTGGAAGCTAGCCAATTTATAACGTTTATGCCATAGGAAAAAGCAACCTCCAAATCTTAGTGGCATACAGCACTAAGCTTTTATTTTCCCACTTGGTTGCTTTGTAATACGCCAACTTGGCGAAGTGAAACTACATTTCCCAGAATTCCTTTTTTGTATGCTCCTGGTTAAGATAGGCCCTAAAAGCAACTTGTTCAAGATTTGGAAGCTGCAAGTGGAGCTGGAGATGTGTGTATTCTTGGAAGATCCACGCCGGTCAGACTTTGCAGCAGCTTATAAACGTTTTCACAGACCTGCTGGCTTGATGTTTGGACTTGGCCCAGAGCTCCAGTCCCTGCAGATCACTTCCTTCCACCTCACAGGTCCTCATAGAGGAGAGGGTGTGGCTCTACAGAAAGAATACCAGCTACTGTTTAGAACATACGCAGCAATGAGGGTGGAGTCTCAGAGACCGGAAAAGGCCTATGTGACTTTTGGTGATAGATCCACGTGTGTTCCACATGGTTCTTTGTGGATTCCAGTTTTCCGTGCTCTCCTCTGCTTCCTGTTCATCTTTTGATATTGAGCAACTGTCTTGTGACTTCAGGCTCAGCACCCCTCCTAAGAAACAGCCAAACTGAGCTCATTTACTGGTATCCATAGTGGAAAAAGTCAATTCCTATTTTACGTAATTGCAATTCTGCACCATTCTGAGCGGTTCTGCTTCTCTACTTGAATCTAACACATCTTTATATTATTATTATTATTATTATTATTATTTATCTTTTGAGACAGAGTCTCACTCTGTTGCCCAGGCTGGAGTGCAGTGGTACAATCTTGGCTCACCGCGGCCTCCACTTCCCAGGTTCAAGGAATTCTCCTGCCTCAGCTTCCTGAGTAGTTGGGATTACAGGCACCAGCCACTACGTCCAGCTAA